CCGGCATTGACTGCCATATCCTTAGTATTTTCGCTGTTAATGCGGCGCTTATGCTTGTTGCGACGTGACCTGCTATTGCCGTCCTTGGTATCTAAGGTACCATGGTTCTTTGATATGTTATTACTGTGAGCCAGCCAGTTGTCTTCTCCCGCACAAAAGCGGGTCATGAGTGTCGTGAGAGCTGCCATAGATTTCGGCTTTTCCTGACCAAGGTGCCGGGCTAGCCACTCGTCTCGGATGTTGTGCTTGAAAGCCGCTAAGGCCTCCGCATCCGGACAGTCGACGATTTGATGTTTCTTTGTAAGGAACCGAGTCCAGAATTGCCTGGCCGACTCTTCTGGCTGCTGAATTATGTGGCTCAAGTCATCGGCGTCTGGTGGTCACACATAAGTGCCCTGAAAATTGTCGAGGAATGCGGCTTCCAGATCTTCCCAACAGCTAATGGAGTCCGCTGGCAAGCTGTTAAGCCAATGCCGCGCTGGTCCTTTGAGTTTTAGTGGGAGGTATTTGATGGCATGTAAGTCATCACCGCGGGCCATATGGATGTGGAGGAGGAAATCCTCAATCCATACCGCGGGATCTGTTGTGCCGTCGTATGATTCAATGTTTACGGGTTTAAAACCTTCTGGGAATTGATGTTCCATTACTTTGTCTGTGAAGCATAAGGGGTGTGCGGCGCCTCTGTACTGGGCTATATCGTGACGCAGCTCGAATAGGTCTTGCCCGCTGTGTTCGGCCCGGCCGGATTTGCTTTTACTGTATCCGGCGTGACGTTTGTCGTCTCACAGAGTGGTGCGCCCTCGTGATCCGTAGATCGATCATGAATGCTTTGCCTTGTACTCCAATATGTCTTGCAGGTCTGGCGTATCTCCCCATGCCTTTTTATTTGAATGGCATTGGGGTGGGGGCTGAGCTTTTGGCTGGAATGCCTCTCTATCGCGGCCACGAGGTGGCCGATCAGCCGTATCATACGCTTCTTCCTCCAGTCGGGGTAGTAACCTGCGCCTTGGGTAACTCTTGGAGGGACGCTCGAGTTTATATTCCTCGGCCGCGAGGACTTCAGTCCATTTGTCAGCTAGCAGATCTTGATCAGCTTGAAGCTGCTGCTACTTTTTCTTCAGGCTATTTGCCGTGGCCATAAGCCTGCGCTTGAAGCGCTCTTGTTCGACGGGATCCTTTGGCACAGCGAATTCATCGCCGCCGAGGCTTGCCTCGTCTTCGGAGGGGGGATGTAATTGTCATCCTCCTCCTCTCCGTCTACCACTCTCTCAGGAGAGATGGCTCCTTCATCCTCCTGCTCTTGCTGGAGGGGATTGTTGTTATCTTCGGCACTGTCCGGAGTGCTATTATCTCCTGGGCCGGTATCACCACTTTTGCATTGGCGGGACTTAGAGCGGCGCCGCTGACGTCAGCGCTTAGGCTGCTTCTTGAAGGGGTCATCCTCCGCTATCTCGTCGCCATAGCCTTCGTTGGGTGTATCCACCATGTATATGTCATATGACGAGTTGGCTTTCCAGTGCCCTATAGGTGTTGGTTCATGTTCGTCTCCTACATCGTCGTCCATACCGTAGATGTCTTTGGAGTCGAAGTCGAGCATGTCGGTTAAATCATCGACAGTGGCTACAAAGTGGGTGGTGGGTGGGCGTCGAATTTCTTCGTCGTCCGCATCCCAATCCTGTTGGCCATAATACGGCCAGGGCTCTCCTGACAAAGAGAGAGACCTTAGTGAATTCAGAATGTCACCGAAGGGCGAGTGCTGAAAGATATCCGCGGTGGTGAATTCCATGATCGGCGCCCAATCGGATTCGATTGGCAGGGGCGCGGATGGTTCGGAGTCCGGAAGAGAGTCCGACACTTTGGAGTCACGGGCTGCGCAGAGGGTAATGCTGGTGTTTGGCTCGATCGCCGTTGAGACTGCAGCCCCTGAGGCGGTGTCTAGCCACCCATCCTCAATTGGCGTGTTGGCTCCGAGTTAAGGGTCGGAGCTGATGCGGGCGCGGCCTCTGGGGTACCGTTCGGTGGCAGAGCTAGGTCATACCCATCGCGACAGTGCGGCGCGCCCGGGTGTGGCTCGAATCCGTCGAAGATCAAGTCCCTGCGGATGTCGGCCGTGTAGTTCAAACTTCCAAATCTGACCTGATGGCCAGGGGCGTAGCTTTCAATCTGCTTCAGATGGCCAAGCGAATTAGCTCGCAGTGCAAAGCTGCCGAATACGAAGATCTGTCCGGGGAGAAAAGTCTCACCCTGGACCGCATCGCTATCGATGATAGTAGGAGCCATCAAGCCTAACGGCGACGTCACAGAGGAACTCTCAATGAAAGCACCAATGTCGGTGTCAAAACCGGCGAATCTCGGGTAGGGGGTCCCGAACTGTGCGTCTAGGCCGGATGGTAACAGGAGGCAGGGAACACGATGTTTTACCCAGGTTCGGGCCCTCTCGATGGAGGTAAAACCATATTTCCTGCTTGATTAATATTGATGATATGGGTAGTACAAGAGTAGATCTACCACCAGATCAGAGAGGATAAACCCTAGAAGCTAGCCTATGGTATGATTGTATGTTGTGATTGTTGTCCTACGGACTAAAACTCTTCGGTTTATATAGACACCGGAGAGGGTTAGGGTTACACAAGGTCGGTTACAAAGGAGGAGATATCCATATGCGTATTGTCTAGCTTGCCTTCCACGCCAAGTAGAGTTCCATCCGGACACGAGACGAAGTCTTCAATCTTGTATCTTCATAGTCTAACAGTCCGGCTAATGGAGATAGTCCGGCTGTCCGGAGACCCCCTAATCCAGGACCCCCTCACAACCATTTCAAGGACAAGTATTTCCGGACGGAGGGAGTACTACTCATAGCACAAGCTAGCGAGCTATAGCAGTATATTTCTATTGAAGATTTCCTAAAAACTACAAACAAGTGTGTAAGTTTTGATCCATCGATCCAATGCAACTCAATTAATCTTCGCAGAAGGATGATGAGGAAAGACATAGGTATGTTTATATATACAGAGTTACAGTTCAATTAATCTTCACATATTATACGGTGTATAATATGTATAGTTTTCTATACGGAGATAATAAAATAAAAAAATAAAATGAAATGAAATAATGATGTTTTATCAGGAAAATAAATTGGTGGCATTGATATTTTAAAATTCAAATAATGGCAAAATTCCCACATGATTTATACAGAAATTGCACTTTTTAATAATATGCAAGAATAAGCATATAATAGTGCAATTTCACAACAAAAAGTTTCCTAATATGAACAAATGAATTAGTGGCACTGGTGTTACCATTCGTAAAAAATAAAATAAAAAAGTTTTCTAAGAAAGAATGAATTAGTGACATTGATATTGCCCTTCCAGAAGAAACAAACTGAAAAAAATGAATTTTTTTGCAAACAACAAACACAGAATTACACTTAAAGAAGAAGGAACATAAAGTAAAATCTAAAATATAATCAAAATAATGAGGTTTTCTATGCATGAATGAATAGGTGGCATTGGTATTACCCTTCCAGAAGAAAGAAAATGGAAAATATGAAGAAAAATTGCACATAAGTTACACTTAGAAAAGAAAGAAAATAAAATAAAAACTAAAATAGAATCAAAATTATGAAGTTTTCTATGAGAGAAAGAATTAGTGACATTAGTATTACCCTTTAAAAAATGAAAAATAAAACCATGACAAAATTTTCACACAATTTACATAGAAATTACATTTTTTATAATATGCAATAATCATCATATAATAGTAAAATTTCAAAAAATAATAAGCTTTCTTGACTTAGTGGCATTGCTATTGCTATTACTATTTAAGAATAAAAAACAGAAAATTAAAATAATTAGTGATAATATTTGCGCACAATTTGCATATAAATTGCATTTTTTTAATATGCAAGAATAAGAATATAATAATGGAATGTCGCCAAAAAAAGTTTCCTAAGAAGAAATGAATTAGTGGCATTGGCATTGCCTTTAAAGAAGAAATAAATGAAATAAAAATAAAAATAATATAGAAATTAAGTTTTATAATGGATAGTGAATTATTTGCGTTGGTATTAACTTTTTAGGGTAAAGGAAAAAACTTTTTAAAACTTGAACTTTGTACTGAGATTGCACGTTTTTTAATACGTAAGAAATAAGCATATAATAGTGCAACTTGCACAGTCTAATATAACTTAGACACACTTTGTATGATACTTGCGTGTTTACATTTACCCTCATCCAACATCCGAAAACTACCCATAAAATTACCCACTAAAATAGAAGAAAAATGCAGAAGCAACAACACATACAAACAAGCCTATAAGATTTCATGTAACGGGCTTCAGCCCAATAAGGAACAACCGAGCCGAAACAGTGGTCAGTCGGAACATTTCAGCCCAAAACATGACGGTACACCAACAGAAAAAAAAATGAAGAGCACGCATCTTGGAGGATTGATCAACGGTAAAATAAATCGACTAGCCCTAATTAGAAAATCAGTCAACTTACATCTACCTAAAGTGCTAAGGCTCCCATGTAGGCAAAAAAATGATGTGGCAAGGTAATTAAGAGGAGAAAGATGGGTGTGGTAACCCGAGGAAAAAACAATGACAAGCGTGAGAAAATACACTTAAATGAAAAAATCCACCAATACATGGATAACTTTAGTTGCTAAATCATTAAATGAGGATACTTAGCTAGAAAAAGTTAAGCACCTTTGTATTGGAGACTTTAGTTGCTTATAACTCTTTAATATGCTTAGCATCTTATCTTAGCACCGGTGCATTGTAAGAGGTCAATTTATCTGGTTCGAAGATTGATCACCTGGAAATTGTTGATGAGTAAGCCAATAATCCCACCGTTCATCACATAACAGAGCAGTACAATGCAGCTACAATCTCACACACTACACGAATCGAATCTGAAAGAAGAATACTGTTACACTCACTACAGGGACACGAAATCCCCCCAAATCACACAACAGCCGAAGACCCCTACGCGCGCGCCTCAGAATCCTACGGTGTCATTAGACCATCTGCTATCCCTCGTCGACGACGCCGTGCTCGCCCGGTACGCGCCGGACCGTTGGTTCGCGTTGCCCACGTACTGGCGCACCGGGTCGCTGCTGGGGGCCGGCACGGCCGCGGCCATGGGCGCCCCGACCACCACGTACTGCTGCACAACCAGCACCGACACCGCCATGGAGAAGTCTGACGACACGAGCATGTCGCCGATGGGCCCCAGCTCCGGCGACTCCATCCAGTCCTCCAGCGCCGCCGTCATGGGCGACCCGGCCTCGCCGGGGCGCCGGCCCACGATGTACAGCTCGTGCGCGCTGTTGTCCATGCCCCGGATGGCTGCCACCGTCTCCTCGCTGTTGGTCACCGGCCTGTCCGCGTACGTGATGGAGGGGTTGCCGTGGTTGCGCGCGCGGAACTCGCCCAGGTACTCCTCGTCCATCTGCAGCTCGCTCTTGCCCTCCGTGCTCGCGCTCATCGCGGCCCCGCGCAGGTCCATGCCGCCCGACGCCGCCGACCGGTAGGAGGCCTCGGAGAAGGACCGCGCCGCCGCCCGGTAGTCCGGCGGGAGGAACCGCAAGATGGTGAGGGCGACCCCGGGGTTCTCGACCATCCTCCACGCGTACGCGAGCGCCTCGCGGTCGTCGGGCCCGCCGAAGAAGAAGAGCGCCACGCGGTGCTCCGTCGCCATGCGCGCCGCGGCGGCGCTCAGGCCGCGGTCCACGAGGATGGCCACGGAGCACGGGGAGGTGGCCAGGAGGCTCTCGTTGAATAATTTGATGGAGGGGTTGATGGGCTCCATGCCGCCGTCCACCGTCTGCTGCTTGTGGAACGGGATCACGATTAGCGACACGTGCTTGTCCTCGGCCAGCACCGACACGTCGTCGTGCATGGTCTGGTACGGCGACACCGCCGCCAGCGTCTGGATGGACACGCCTCCTGTGTATACATGTTGTCATCTTCATTACTCATCCTATACTTTTTTTTAATGGAGTTGGCAACTGTGTGCACTGACCGGTGAGCCTCTCGTAGTTCTCAAAGGCGTTGAAGATGTGCTCCGTGGCGGCGGGCAAGGCGGAGGACGAGCTTGTCCGGCTGGAGGAGGAGGCAGCCGCGGCGGCGAGCATGTTGGAGGCCCGGCCGGTGAGCTCGATGATGTGGAGCGCGTAGATGAAGATGGGGGAGCGCTTGGACGGGTTGGAGAGCTCCAGCAGCGACAGCACGGACGGCACGTTGCGGGTGGTGTGCACGCAGGCCAGCATGCGGAGCTCGCTGTCGTGCCGGATGCGCTGCAGGTTCCGCCGTTTGTACCCGACGAGGCGCCGCGACGGCCGGTACACGCCGGTCACCACCGGCGTCACCAGCGACGTCATCGCCACCGACACCAGCACCATCACCGCGAACGATTCGTCGTCCAGCACCTGCTTGTCCCTCCCGATGTTGAGCACGATCATCTCGACCAGCCCCCTGGTGTTCATGAGGAAGCCGAGCGCGATGCCCTCGCGGAACGGCATGGCGTAGAGCGCCGCGATGATGATGGTGCCCATGATCTTGGCGAAGCTGGCCATGACGAACACGAGCACCAGCAGGCCGACGGTGATGGGGTCGCGTATCATGCGCACGTTGGTGCGGAGGCCGCTCATGGCAAAGAAGAGCGGGAGGAGGAGCCCGGTGACGAAGTCCTCGAGCTTCTCGATCAGCGTCACGCCTAGCGGCGCGCTCGGGATGACCAGCCCGTAGACGAAGGCGCCGAAGACGGAGTGGATGCCGATGGCGTCGGTGCACGCGCCGGCGATCATGACGCCCGTGAGGATGAGGGTGACCTGCGTGTTGCTGATGCCGTCGCCCTCGGGGATGCTGCGGATGAGCCGCCACATCAAGGGGCGCACGGCGTAGAAGCAGAAGAGCACGAAGGTCACCCCAGCGAGGAGCACCCAGAGTGACGACAGCGCGGTGCTGTGCACCTCCGAAATGGAGATGGCAAGCGCGAGCAGGATCCAGGCGCACATGTCGTTGACGATGGCGGCGGACATGGCGGTGCGGCCGAGCTCCGAGTTGAGCAGCTTGATCTCGGCGAGGATGCGGGCGAGCACGGGGAAGGCCGTGACGGAGAGGGCGACGCCGAGGAAGAGCAGGAAGGAGGTCTGGTGCACGTTCCGGGACACCTGGTGCCGGAATATGAAGGAGGTGGCGATGCCCATGCAGAAAGGCAGCGCCATGCCGGCCATGGCGACAAGCACCGCCTTGTCCCCGGACCGGCGGATGACGTCGACGTCCATCTCCAGGCCGACGAGGAAGAGGAAGAAGAGCAGCCCCAGGTGGGCCACCGTCTCGAGCGTGAGCAGGCTGCGCACGGGAAACACCAGGCTGGCCCACACCTCGCTCCGCCCGATCATGGACGGGCCCAGCACGACCCCGGCGAGGATCTCAGCGATGACGCGGGGCTGGCGGAAGGGGCGGAGGAGGACGACGAGGAGGCGGGTGGTGACGACGATGACGGCCACCTGGACGATGAAGAGCGGGAGGGAGAACTCGAGCGGGTTCACGCCGTCGCCCTGCCACATGCCGTTGGTGGTCATCATCATGGGCGAGTAGCACACCACCGGGTTGAACGCCTTGGTGGCCGTCGACGCATTGCTGTTCTGCGTCGTGGTGTTGACCGCAACCACGTCGACGTTCAGGGGCGCGACGGTGGAGGCCATCCTGGCGCATAGCACGGGCCCGGGGCGCTAGGCCGTCCTCCCGCGCGAGTCTGCTTCTGGGGAAGGAAGATGGCAGCTTGAGGCGCAGCTAGCTGAACGGGGGACGACGGAGAGAGACAGACGGGGGAAAGTGGTCACTTCCGTCGAGCTTTCCTCCCGGGGACTTCGGAGTTGCAGAGGTCAGAGGGTCTCTGATTTTTGACCGGTCACCTTAGTTTCTGAATCTACCACGAATTGTGAGGTTCACAGTAAGGGTCGGGCGCATGCAGAGGCTTACATGCAGCTGCTGCTCACTAGTTCATCCTATTTCTGGCACCAGCATCAGCACGTGCATCGTGCTTCTAACTGAACCAAGGTGTCTATAATTCCTGAAAAAATTCAAATCCAGATTTACATATTTTACATGATACCATGATGCCACA